CCGAATTAAAACTTTGCGCGGCCCGCCTAGCTTTTAGCGGAAGAGGTTCGCTCTCGCCCCGCAGATCAAAAACTGTCACTACCGCAACGATTGCATTGCATCCACCTCCCGGCTCGGCCCATGGGGTTACGTTTTCGGTCTTTTTTCCCCTCGCCAGTTACGCGGCGTCGGCCCCGACCCTCTCCCAAGAAGATCCCCCCGTCTTCGGCGCCCGTGAGGATCGCTGACAACGTAGCAGACCCCTCGCCGTATAACCGTCGATTGCGGTGCCCACCCCTGCCTCCCTTACCCTGTCGGTAAGATGCCCGTCGGGCTGCCCTGCGGACCCGTTGCGCGGGTTTCTTATGAATCTTCTCCATCGACGCTGAGCGTGCTGATATCCTGGAACTAAATATTCAGCGGTCTCGGCGCCCCCCAGTCTGCGGGGTGGGTCCGACATATCTTAAATGTTCGTTTCCGCCTGAGGATAACGCGTCGGCACCTGCCCCAGCATCGAAGGGCGAGTTCCCGTTAGAGGCCGCGCCGTATAGGGCGGCTTGACTGTCAGAAGCAGCGTAGGATGTAGGGTTAGAGGCTGCCCCAAGCTTTGACAGGATGATTTTTATTAGATGACCCACGCCCATTCCCTGGCCCTAAGGAGTTGCAGCGAATAATGTCGTGGACTCTTCTGGACCATGAGGGCTATCAGCCCTTTTTGTGATAGGCGCGGCCGCGTCTCCGCCGGCGTTTGTCATGCAGGTATTCGCGTTTCCGCGCCCTGTGGTTCCCAGCAACACATTGCCAATGTTGCCGGGAACGCGCTCGGCCAAATGGCCGCAGCTGCACACACGACCCAGCAGCTCATCAGACTGCCGGCGGGTCCGTGTCATTTGGCCGTTCAGTGGCTGTAGTAGTTGGGCGGCACTGCCAGGGCCGAAACTTAGTGCTCTGAAGAGCACCGTCGTGAGTAGCTGGAAGTTCGGAATAGGAAAGCCTACCGAATCGGCTTCGAGGCGCGCCATCTCGAATCTACCGAGAATCGAATCCGTTCTTTCGCCTGGTTCAGGCCTGAAGCCGATGAGCGTCATTTCTGAGGCGAACTGACGCTCGCCCTCAAAGTTAGTTTGGATTTGGCGCTCAGAAAGAACATGATGTACGTGACAGGGTCGGTGTGGACCCCTTGTATGGTCCGACCGTAGATGATGATCTGTGGTGGGACTCGCATCGCTATGATGCGCGCTACCCCTCCCAGACCACGCTGCAGTCACGCAGCCAGTTGCTGTGGAGTCACGCGGGCACTTATGAAGTTTAGCCACGCATGGACTTCACAGGTGAACTTAAGGAATGGCACGTTTCCTGAAGGGTCCCAATAGGAGCCCGAAAGCGCGTGATCGACTCCGTCGTTGCGATTACCGCGTTGCACGCAACCACTAGCGCAGCCGATGATTACCCACAGAATGCCAAAGGTGATGAGCATCAAATGTTGCTTCCATATTGGGTCATAGCTGGTGTTGTCGGTTATATTTGGGATGTTTGTCGCCGTGAGTCGGCAAATCGACAGTGGAGGCATGCCCCCATACTGGTTTAAGAGTATGGGGTCTACCCTCCCGCGCAGGGGAAGTTGGTATGTTATATCTTCCCAAGTCCGTTGTAGTTCGGAGTGCGCTGGCGTAGAGCCGCGGCGTATTCGATTTTCGGGGTATTCAAGCGGACATTGTCCATAAGGGACATGGCGTCCCTGCTATCGTCGCTTCCGCCTTCTTGTCATTAGCCACGCCCTGACGTCGCAGTGGTATTGGCGGCATACCATGCCGTGCCGTGGAGTATTTTTGCGATTGGCAGAGCTGACCACATCTTAGTGAGGCCAGCTCCGCTACCAAGAAAAAGGCATGATGAGGACCACGGGATGGAAGGTTGGACGTAAGAAGTAGAATGGGGCATGCTCCGGAGGATTGATCAGATCCTGTTTCAGATGCAATAGTGGGACGCAAGATCCTCTAGCGGCCCAAGAAAATAGGACGCCCGCGCCTTGAGCCAGACACCAGCAGGATGCTCGCTATGCTCGCTATATGTATATCCCAGCCCTCTGATCCACTGCAGACTAGGAGGCCCAAAGAGGCCCCCAAGAGGCCCCGAAGAGACCTCCAAGAGGCTCCCAAGAGACCTCCAAGAGACCCCAAGAGGTTCCCCAGAGGCATCCAAGGCGCCCCGAGAAGCCTTGGCGAGAAGGCCAACATCATGTGTGTTCCTGAGGTTTTGACCAGTTTGGCCAAACATAAGTAAGAAGACCCTTCCTGTGATCAATATCTTCCATGGCCCCAGGATGGCCCCCAAGGTTCCCAAGGGCGCCCCAAGGCGGCCCCAAAAGGTGCCCCGGAGGCCCCAAGAGGCCCCCAAGAGGTCCCAAGATGCCCTCAAGCGGCTCCAGACCCCCAAGAGGCCCCAAGAGGCCCCCGAGTGCCACACAAGACGCCACAAGAGAGGCCTCGGCGAGAAGGCCAAAGTCCTATGTGACTAAGCTATGGGCAACAGTTTGGCCTCCTAGAAGAGGGGACCCTGAGCAAGGAGCTCCCCATCTTTGCTCGATCTCTTCCATGGCTAAAAGATGGCCCCCGAGGCTCCCAAGGGTACCCCAAGACGGCCCCACGAGCTGCCCAGGAGGCCCCAAGAGGCGCCAACGATGCCTCCAAGATGCCCCAAAGAGGCTCCCAAGAGACCTCTAAAGAGGCTCCAAGAGGCCCCCCAGAGGCACCCAAGACGCCTCGAGAGGCGCCAGGGACTGTCAAGGTATTCCCAAGACACCCCAAGAGAACCTCAAGCAACTCCCGAAAGAAAACAGGCCCTACTCGTCCTCCTCCTCCTCCTCCTCCTCATCATCATCATCATCATCATCACCATCATCACCATCACCATCATCATCATCATCATCATCATCATCATCATCATCATCATCATCATCATCATCATCATCATCATCATCATCATCATCATCATCATCATCATCATCATCATCATCATCCCTTTCCTGGTCCTCCTCCTCCTCCTCCTACTCCTCCTCCTCCTCTTCCTCCTCCTTCTCCTCCTCTTTCTCATCGCTTGTTTCTCATCCTTCCTCCTCCCTCCTCCCCGTGTCACTCGTCCTCCTCCCCCTCCTCCTCCTCCTCCTCCTCCTCCTCCTCCTCCTCCTCCTCCTCCTCCTCTGCTCTGCCTCCTCCTCCTCAATCCTCCCCCTGTTGGGGTACGACGTCTTACCCAACCATCTATTCCACTGCATTATCATCCACATCACTGATCAGGGCAACTCGTCTGGGCATCGTTTCTGGATGGGCTTGTGGGGTCACGCGATGCGTCTAGAATAAGATAGGCCCTCTCCTTCTCGGAACGAATGCATTTGTACGCGCCGGCGCTGAGCAAGAAGGCGGCAGGGCATTCTATTTGAGTGAAGGGGGCCAGGGGAAATGAGACGAGGAGGGAAAGAAGGATGAGAAGAAGGAGGACGACGACGACTACCACGCCGGCGGCGGCGGTGACGATGACAATGACGACTACGACGACGATGATGATGACGATGACGATGACGATGACGATGACGATGACGATGACGATGACGCTGACCATGACGACGACGACGATGACGATGACGATGACGACGACGACGATGACGATGACGTTGACGTTGACGTTGACGTTGACGTTGACGATGACGATGGCGATGGCGATGACGATGACGACGACGATGACGATGACGATGATGATGATGCTGGTGGTGCATGTTGTGATGATGATGATGATGATGATGATGATGATGATGATGATGATGATGATGATGATGATGTTCATGATGATGATGGTGGTGATGATGATGACGATGGTGATGATCATTAATGATGGTGATGATGAAAATGATGATGATGTTGATGATGGTGGTGGTGATGATGATGACGCGCCTTAGAGGGAGGGTGTCATGGACGTCGTGCCCTCTCAATACTTGGTCACATATTCCTCGCCGTACATATGCATTAACGTGGTGCCCATCATTTCCATCACATGTCGTGCCATGTGCCGCTTCATGTGCGGGTCTCTCGTCCCATTTGGGTTGTGTCCAGTTGCCCACCGAGAGCCATTATATCTGAATGCCCGCCCGCGCGCTGCTGGCGTTCCTGTCCTCGTGATCCAACCCTTCAGAATATCAAAATGATGCCAGCGACGGTCTGGCATCCAGTCGGTTCCTTGGCACATGATGGCGCGTTGAGCCATGCTCTCCTGATGTCGCTGCGTAAGGGATAGCGAAGAAATCACTGCTTCCATATACACATGCAGCGGGGAGCATGGCGAGCAGGAGGAGGAACAGGATGAGGGGGCAGAGGGGGGAGGAGGGGGGAAGGAGGAGAGAGAGGGGGGGAGGGAGGATAGATGAGAGAGGGGTACGTAGGAGGAGATCAGGAAGAGCGACAGGGAGGACAGGTGAACAGAAGGGGGAGGGGCAGGGGTAGGGGCAGGAGGCGAGGTGACGAGGGGAGGTTAAAGGCGGGAGGAGGGAGCGCCGCGCGGGCCAGCCCAGCAGGTAGGGAGAAGCACGAGAGGAGGGCGCAGCGTGCAGCACGCAGGATCTGAATTCTCCTGGGGACGCCGCTGGCCCCAGAGAGCTCGCTGGGGCGCTCACTTCTCCAGGCTGAGCTCCACGATCTTGCCCGTGATCTCCTTCATGGTCGGGTAGTCGAACATCAGCGAGGCTGGCACCTTCATGCCCAGGGCCGACTGGAGGCTGTTCCGGAACGAGACAGACGTCAGGCTGTCCATGCCGCTGTCCATGAGCGGGCTGTCCTCGTCCAGCTTCTGGTCGTCCAGCTGGATGGCCTGCAGGGCCATGTCCCTGACCGTCTGCATCACCATGCTGGCGTCCAGGCCCTTCGGCTTGGCCTTCTCCTGCGCCGCTGCGGGCTCGCCAGATGCGGCGGCGGCAGGCATGCCGCCCTACTGAGCCATGAACCACTCGGGCGGGGGCATCATACCCATACCGCCCATGCCGTCATCGACCTCCACATCAATCTCCTCGTACTCGCTCTCTCCGCCACCATCACCCCCGCCGATCTCCACGATGTGGCTCGTGATCTCCTTGATCGTAGGGTAGTCGAACATCAGAGACGCCGGCATCTTCAGGTTCAGGGCCGACTGGACGCTGTTCCTGAACGAGACGGCCGTCAGGCTGTCCATGCCACTGTCCATCAGCGCGCTGTCGTCGAAGAGCTCCAGGTTGTCGAGGTTGATCGACTCCTTGGCCAGGCTCAGGACAGTTTGCGCCACCATTGCGGAGCTCAGGCCCTTCTTCTCCTTCTTCACCCTCTTCTTGATCGTGCGCTTCCCCCCGCCACCGCCCTGGCCTTGCATCATGGCCCACATCATCTGCATGTCAGGCATGCCGTCGTCCTCCTCCACCTCTATCTCTTCCCACTCGTCTCCGCCGCCGTCGCCCCCGCCGATCTCCACGATGTGGCTCGTGATCTCCTTGATCGTAGGGTAGTCGAACATCAGAGACGCCGGCATCTTCAGGTTCAGAGCCGACTGGACGCTGTTCCTGAACGAGACGGCCGTCAGGCTGTCCATGCCACTGTCCATCAGCGCGCTGTCGTCGAAGAGCTCCAGGTTGTCGAGGTTGATCGACTCCTTGGCCAGGCTCAGGACAGTTTGCGCCACCATTGCGGAGCTCAGGCCCTTCTTCTCCTTCTTCACCATCTTCTTGACCTTGCGCTTCCCCCCGCCGGCGCCCATCATGGCCCACGGCGGCATCATCATGCCTCCGGGCAAGGCAGGCATCTGTGGGGCCAAGGTATCCAAGAGCTTCTCCGCCCTGGCCTCGCCCGCCTTGTCCTGGCACTGCTTGAAGATGTCCCGTGCTTCCTTGGCGGCGGCCTCCGCCGCCTCGCGACCCTCCTTGAGCTCGTTGCGCGCCTGGGCCAAGATCAGAAGGGAGGAGGCCTCTCCAGACAGATCGCTGGACTCCTTGAACAGGACACGCGCCCTCTGCGAGGCCGCGACGGCGCCGTCGTTGTCGCGGAGCGCCAGGAGCACGACGCCCTCGAAGTACGAGGCCAGGGCCTGCAGGTCCGAGCGGCCGGTGCGCTGCGCGAGCGCGACGGCGTCCGCGATGTTCTGCACGCACTTGCTCGCGCTGTCCTTCAGCGCGCGCTCGCCGCCCGCACCGTCGCTCAGCTCCTTGATCACCTCCAGCCGCGCCTCCGCGGCCAGGATAAGCATGTACACCTGGTCCGTCCTGTGGCCGAGCTTCTGCGCGCCCTTCCCCGCGGCGTCCGCGGCCTTGGCGGCCAGCTTGGCCTCGCCCTGGCCCCTGTCAATGTGGAGGCGCGCGATGTGGTAGAGCGCGTTGGTCTCCAGCTTGCGGCTGCCGGCCTCCTGGGCGGCCTTGCGCATGTCCCTCGCGGCTTGCAGCGCCCTGTCGGCGTCGCCAGAGGCCCTGTGGACGTCGATCGCGAGGCTCAGGGCGGCGATCTCGCCCCTCCCGAAACCCACCTCCCTGCTGGCCTCCACGACGTCCTCGATCTCCGCCAGCGCGCCCGCCATGTCTCCCTTCAGGAAGCTGCAGGCGGCGGCCTGGAGCTGCGCCACCAGCTCCTGCGCCGTGTCGTGCTCCTCGCGGAAGAGCTCCTGCCCGCGCTCCGCCGCCTGCCTGGCCCTGTCGTAGTCGCCCCTCTCCAGCAGCAGGCTGGACATCAGGGTCACCGCCACGGCCTCGTGGAGGCTGTCGCCGTCCTGGGCGAACCACGCCTCGGCCTCCTGCAAGGTCTGCTCCGCGCCCGCCGCGTCGCCGGCCGCCAGCAGCGCCTGGGCCAGCGTCAGCCGCACCAGCGCCGCCCAGCTCCCGTCCTCGAGCTCCTGGCAGAGCGCCAGCGCCTCGTCGTACGCCGCGGTCGCCTGGCCGGCGTCCCCCGCGCACGTGCGCGCGTGCGCCAGCGTCACCAGCGCGCAGACCTCCTCCCGCTTGTCCCCCGCCTCCTGGCACCTCTGCACCCCCGCCGACGCCAGCTCCACCGCCTTGTCCGCCGCGTCCCTCATGACGTGCGCCTCCACCAGGATCTGCTCCGCGACCGCGCAGACCCCGAACGCCTGGCCCAGGGCACGGCAGGCGTCCGCGGCCTCCTGCGCCGCGGGCATGGCGTCGCTGGGCCTCTCGAGGTCGAGGCTGAAGGAGGCGATGGCGATCAGCTCGAGGGCGGCAGCCCTGGAGTCCCGCGCCTCCCGTGCCGCGTCGAGGGCGTCCCTCGCGGCCTGCAGGCCCGCGGGCACGTCGTGGTCGAGGGCCAGCGCGACGGCGAGGGCGTGCAGCGCCGCCGCCTCCGTCTTCTTGCCGCCGAGCACCCGGTACAGCGAGAGCGCGTCCTCCGCCGAGCGCCTGGCATCGGCGGGCCGGTTCTTGCGGCCCTGGATGCGGGACAGCGTCAGCAGCGCCGCCGCCTCCATCCTGCGGTCCTGCACCTCTCGGAGCAGCGCGCACGCCTCCGTGGCACCCTGCAGGGCGGCCTCGGGGATGGCCGACGGGCATTTGGCCGCGTCCACGTCCACCTCGGCCAGGCAGAGCAGCATCATGGCCGCGCCCCGCCGGTCACCCTGCTCCCTGCACGACTGCAGCTTCGGCCCAGCCAGCTCCCGCGCCTTCTTCGTGCTCATCAGCGCCAGGTCCTCTCCCCCGTACTCGATCGGGTTCCACCTGAGGCCGAGACAAGGGGGGCCTCATTTCGAGACGGATCGGCAACAAGGACCGCGAACGCCCGCACCACAGACAACGATCTAGAATAGGCATGCAAGCTACTACCATAAGGAACGCTAAACAAGGAACGAAGCCTCCGTTTGGCCTCAGAAGCGCCTGGCTGCACGGGGAGCGCTTCAGGAACAGCCGTGGAAGGACCTAAGAAACAGCGGGACTGCTCCTCACTTCAGCACTTTGACTGCATCCGTCCACACCAATTCCCCAAGGCGGCGTGACACTCTGGACAAACGTGGAACCGCGCGCTAGATTCATGACGCTGAGATTCCAGCACAGGGCAGGGCGGCTTCACGGCACAGTGGGTGCATGTCTCGGTGCCCCGCGAGATTGGGACTACTTGCGCTCGTCGGTCAGCGGTCCCTGGCCTGCTGTGGCGGTCATGGGAGATCGGACCACGAGCAGGAGAGCACCCTGCCGCGAGGGGTCCGCCCAGGGGCTCCGCCTGGCCAGCTCCGCCTGCAGCCTGTAGGCGTGCACCGCCATGCGGGCCGCGTCCGCCTCCCCGGCCGTGTCGCCGAGCCCCGCGTAGATCTCCCCCGCCTGCTTGGCAGACGCCAGGGCCTCGTCGGCCTGGCCGCTCTCCAGCTGCTCCTCCGCCGCCGAGAGGAGCACGGCGGCCTCGCGCTTGCGGGGGTTCTGTGCCGCGTCGTCGGCGAGGCACGAGTAGTAGTCGCCGTGGCCGTCACTGGTGGGCCCCATCATGACCTTGACGCGGCGGGCCTCCATCCACTCGAAGAAGTCGGGCGACGTCCTGATGCTCCTGTCCTTCTGCTCCCCTTTCTTTTGCACAGTGCGGTCCTTGGGGGGACAAAACGATGCCGACGCCGCCGCTCCCCGGACCGCTCCTGGGACGCGCCCCGACCAGGCTGTCGATGCGACCCCGGCCGTGGCGACGAGGGAGCCCAGGGAGGCCCCCAAAGGGCGAGGACGAGGAGAGGGCGCGTTGGAACCGGCGTGCTCTTCTCCCCCGAGTCTTCTGTGGCAACTCATGGGAGCCTGCCATACCGTCTCATTGGCCCTTGCGAATGGACGCGGAGTCGACGCCAAGTCGACGCTGAGTCGGCGCTGAATCCATCGACGCGCTGACGCGCTCCAGAGACGGAATTGCGAGGGCACCAGAGACCCCCCCCATGATCTGCTGCCGAGGTCCCGCCCCCTCTGGAAGGACCGCAGCATCTCCATGGCGGTGGCCCCGTCGCACTGCGCGCCGCGCATGATGGCGGCCAGCAGCTCGGCGGGGGTCCAGCTCCAGCGGCGCTGCAGGACGAACGCCTCCAGCTCCGCCGCGGGCTGCCTCTCGGGCGCGGCCGCCGCCGAGAGCGGGCCGGCGACCGCCATGGCACGGGGGCAGCGCGGGCCCCGGCGGGGTGGCGGAGGGTCGGCGACGCGCAGGAGCGGCCCTGCGGGGCGACGAGGTCCGTGCCTGCAGCCGCTGCTCCCTGGCCAGGCCCGTGCTGAGCCCAGCGGCGGCGTACACGCCACGGCCTCCCGGCTGGGCCAGGAGGGCGTGTACGCAACGCCTGGGCCCAGGGAGAGCCAGGTCAGGGGGCAGCGGATATGCACAGAAGTCGTCGCCCGAGCCTGGGGAAGAGTGACCTCTCGGGTGCGCGACTTTCGGGGGCCGAAGGGGGGGCCGAATCCGAGCGCAAAAGCCGCTGCCATCGCATCGCACTCCGCCATCTGGGGGCCCCAGAGTGCCCGCACCAGAGGTCACTCCAGTGAAAGTCGGCGGCGAGCGATGGGAGGAACAGAGAAGGGGCTGGCCTTCTCAGAAGGCTCGGAAGTCCCCCGGCCTGCTGAACAGTTTTCTGGGCCTTCCCCGAAGACACAGAACACACCTCAAAAGGCGCGAGGGCTTCTGAGAAGTCTCGCCGCCTTCTGAGAAGGCCTCTCCTTCTCACTTCCCCCCCCCCGGCGCGCCGCTGATTTTGGTTCTTGTATCAGAACTCGGGTGGTCTCTCCAGCGGCCGTTCGGGGCGATCCTGGCACGTCTGGAACGCTCTCGCCGAGGCGCAGCCGCTGGATCGCATCCGGAGGCTGGAAGACCGTCGAGAGCCGACGAGAACGTCCGAAAACCTCGAATCTCGAACCTCCAACTTCCCCCCCCCCCGCTCGCCGCCGCGAAAGGCCACCCTTACGCGTAGCCGAGAGAAGTCGTGAACGGCTCGGGCGCCGGTGCGCAAACTGCCGCGGGGCCGACGAGGAGGAAGAGCCCTCCTCGGGGGTGTCTATAGGTGCCCCTGGCCCAGGGTACCCCCAGTATTTTTTTGTTTTTTTTATTTTATTTTTTTATTATTTTTTCCCATTTTTTCTGTTGAGGCCCTGGGGCCCTTCTTTGAGGCCCTGGGGCCCTCTGGGCCTCGCGAGGGGTGCTCTGGGCGCCGTGGGGGCCTCCTTGGAAACCCTGGGGGCACCCTGGGCCAGGGGCACTCCTGCCAGGGGGGGCACAAACATGGCTTAGCGATCCATGGATTTGGCGCGCGGTCGCCAAGTCCATGGATCCGGGGAGGTGCCCTCCCCAAGATGCGGCCGGTGCCGCCTCGGTCGGTGGCGAGAATGCGCGATTTCCCATGGAAACGGGACCCGTCGCTAACCCACGCCCCAAGCCAGTCTGGGGAGCTGGCGGGCTTGTAAAACGCTTGTGGGAGACGCTTGCCAGGGCGCTGGAAAGCATGCCTGGGGAGCTTCGAGGGAGCTTCGAGGGAGCTTCGAAGGACCTTCTGGAGAGCTTCGGGGCACGCGCATCGGGAACGAGCAGGAGAACGCCTCTCGGGACCCGCTGCAACCTCAAGCAGGGCGCTGCGAGGATGCCTGACCGGGAGCCTTGGAGAGGAGCTGGCGTAGACCTGCCTGCCGGCTTCTCATCTGCAGCCCTCTTGGCCCTCCAAGGAGCCATCCGGGAAGAAGCCTGCGAGGGCGCCGGAAAGGGTGTTCCGAGGGCGAGCAGGCTCTGGAAGGGAAGTGGAGAGAAGCCGCCACGGAGCTGCGGAGACGCACGGCGTCTGGCAGCACCCGCGGGGGGAGGGAGGAGGAACGAAGAGGAGGAGGAGGAGGAGGAGGAGGAGGAGGAGGAGGAGGAGCAGGAGCAGGAGCAGGAGCAGGAGGAAGAGGAGGAGGAGGCGGAGGAGGAGGAGGAGGAGGAGGAGGAGAACGAGGAGCAGGAGCAGGAGGAGGAGGAGGAGGAGGAGGAGGAGGAGAGGAGGAGGCAGGAGGAGGAGGAGGAGGAGGAGGAGGAGGAGATGGAGGAGGAGATGGAGAAGGAGGAGGACGAAGAGGAGGTGGAGGAGGAGGAGGAGGAGGAACGAAGAGGAGGAGGAGGAGGAGGAGGAGGAGGAGAAGGAAGGAGAGGAGGAGGAGATGGAGGAGGAGAGATGGAGGAGGAGGAGGAGGAGGAGGAGGAGGAGGAGGAGACGAGGAGGAGGAGGAGGAGGAGATGGAGGAGGAGGAGGAGGAGGAGGAGGAGGAGGAGAAGGAGGAGGAGGAGGAGGAGGAGGAGGAGGAGGACGGGTCGCCTAAGCCCTTCGGACCCCAGTTGTGTCTCTTGCGCCGCCATCGTGCTGGAAGGAGGCGCCTTCGTTCCTTCCTTCGACGAGCGCGCTCCACTATTCGCAAAAAACATCCACTCGCAAATGGCCCGGATCCCCCGCGGGGACCTACGATAAACTACATCGAAGCAGACAGGAGTCGCGCGGCGTCGGCGCGCGCACAGGTTGTTGACACCACGTTGATCGCTCAACCTTGAACCGATCGCGGCCCCGATCGTTCAAGGTTGGATTCCGTCGGGTCGTGTGGCGTTATCGTGTCCCTCGGTGTTTCCGCATCGTTCGATCATGTGGATTTCAACATTGAACGCCTTCGTCGGCGTCGCCCGCGCGCCATCGCCGCATGAACATACCGTGCGGACGTTTGCACGCCGCTTCTAGGAGCGGAGGCATCCCACTTCGGGCAAGGGTTGGAGTGCCATGTGGGACCTCTGCTCTAAGACGGGGGCACACCGTAGACGGATCTACCGTCTCGGCGACCTTGTACTGCGCCGAACGGAACGGCCGCGTTGTCTATAGACGCATCCACCCCACACGCGTCGATGCACGCACGTAGCGACATGCAAAGGCTCCATAAACGCATGTGGCTAGACAGCGACACTGGCTTTCTGAAAACAAGCAGAGATTGCCCTCCAAGGCCTCCCAAGTGGGGCCAGGGTAAACGGGGTCGGACGGAAGATCGCACCGCATCGCCGACGACGTCGGGACGGAGAAAATGTGACTCCATATCGAGTCGCATCATTGATGCATCGGCGATTCGGCGTGATCCTCCGACCCCGTCTACTCTGGCCTTGTTGGGAGGCCCGAGGAAAAAACGGGCCCTGAGGCCCGGGCCATTTGAGCGAAGATCAAAAACGGGAATTACTCGAGATGGCGCTACGACATTACGCCGCAGCTTGCGCGGGCCGCCCGCGCGGCACGCCACAATGGAGACTAGGGCGCTTACGCGCGAGCTTACGCGGGCAACTTACGCGCCAATGTCGGCGCAAACGACACCATGCTTTTGCGTCGCCCAATTGTTCTTCTTTGCGGGCCATTGAAGAAACAGGTCCTGCATTCTGGGGCCGCCCCCCCAAGACCAGCTCATCATACTGAGCCACTGTTTGACAGTGCGAGGGCCAAGGGGGACCAAAAAAAACAGCAGCAGCAACAACAGCAGCAACAACAACAGCAACAATAAGTTTAAGAGCGTTCGCTCTTATATGCTCGCGCGTCATTTAATATGCACATCCCAAACCCTGGATACCCGCCCATTTCGTCTTCGATCGCACCCCCCTCTGGGGGGGTAAATGCATTCCCTGCCACGCGTGGCTGGGGAAGCCCTTGCAAACGAAGGGTAACAGATAACGGGGGAGAACGAAAGGGATCGGAGGAAGGGAAGGCAGGGGCAAGAAGGAAGGAGTTTTATGATTTGCGTTGCGAGTGGCGATTCAGCTTGCGCCACGGCTGGTGCCAGCCACTCCAACAAAGGTTAACAATAAGTTTCGCCATGGGTCGCGCCATAAACAGCGCCACGCAACACCCCCTTGAAAGAACATATCGTGGATACCCCCACGGGGGGGCGCACAGCTGCGAACTGGCGTCAAAAACAAGTGTCTGAAACCCTGAAAAGAAGCGGGATGTTGGGAAAGGGGGGCGGAAGGGCAGCGAGAACTGCAACCGCGTCGAGAGGGGCGCGGGGACGCGGATGGAGTGGACAAGAGTTGGGTCGCAGGAGAAGGAGCGGCAAAGAGTGGAGAAGAGGAACCGGGAGGAGTGCGGAGGAGCGGGGGAGCACCGAGGAATCTGGAGGAGGGGCCGGGGATAATCTGGGAGAAATGCGGAATGCGGGCGGGAAGGGGTGGATATTGTTGGGGTGGGATGGGGTGGCCTGGGGTGGGGTGGGCGGAATGCGAAGAACTGAGGAATAGCACAATGGAGCACGAACGAAGTGAAAATGAA